AGACGCATACTTTTCTCAATCAATCTCTCTCTCTCTTTTTCTTCTGAGAGGCGTAGAGAGCCTCCAGCCACCGTGCCTCTATATATATGCATATAGAGATCCTTTCCAAAACCCTAAGACACTTTCCTTCCTTTTGTTATCCTTTCTTTATTTTTGTCTTCAAATATATTTTTCATTTCCTCCAAGTAAATATCTCTTTTCTTTTTCTAACCCAAACCACACTTGTGCATCTCCAAATTCGAACTCCCCTTCACAAATTGCACAGTTCAACTTCTGTATCACTTCTTGTAGTATTCCTCTGCAATACAATCGACTGGTATAGGAAAAACTCCAAAACAACTCATGGTATCATTCTCATGTCATGTACACTTTAACATGGTATCATTCTCTGTTTCTTTTATTTCAAAACAATAATTTATATATATAGAATATCTGGCTTTATTTTCGAATTAAGAGAACAATAGAGGAACTCAATATCACCATTTTATACGCAGAATTCCTAAACTTTCGACTGGTGATAGAATCCCGCTGGATCAATTTTAGCTAATATATTATGAAACTTGATCTTGAGACATAGTTAATTAATCATKTACTATATATAATCACTTCCTAAATAGCTATTCCGTCCATTACATATTCTAAATTATATTTTTACATATTTGTTAATATAACTGAGGGAGAAAATGAAGGAAGTATCTGTGAAAAGGTTATTGTATGATTTAATTTTTAATGATATTATGATTTCTGAATGGTACAATAACGTAAAGAAAAAGGGATGGAAACATTGGAGAAGCAAAAGCATATGCAATAACTAAATGGTGGTCACAATATAAATATAATCATGCTAAGCACATGAATGCTCATCATTTGGTCTTTGCTTATATACTTAACAACACCAAACGCCAAACAAAAAAGGAGTAATCAAACTTATCTTTCACTTTCGGCATTTTTATTTGTGTTGGTTACACCTTACAATAATTTTAGTAATTATTATCTTATATATTGACTTTTTGTTTTTACAAGAAACGTTATATACATGACTTTGTCTCTTTGTTTTGGCTAAATACACTTCTTGGTTACTCTAGTACACTAGCTAGTATATGGCGTCGTCATTACTCTTATCCAAAATCCATGAATATGGTAAGGTACGTGTGTGGTTTAATTACTTACACTAGTTTGTTACATGTAATACAGTACTTTGTTACCATACTAATGAAATTAATGTTTTGGTTTCATTCACTCAAATTTTCAGTTTTACACTTCTGGCTTTTGGTTCTTCTCTATTTCCATATTTTTCATGTTTTTCCTATTGCTCCTGGTCAATTTTGTTTTTCCATTTAAAATGCTGGATAAAACACATATTTGGCGAAAATAGATAAAATCCCCATTAAAAACTGAAGAAAATATGATTTCTCAAGGG